AGCAATCAGAGTGAAGCCATAAGGTGGAATAATGGCTGATTCTGTGGTCATTATGCCTGATTATACTCATTATGCCTTATTATACCTTTCTTTCAAAAAACATACCTGTGTGATTCCAAGCACTTGACTATCCCACGGTATATTGCACATGATCTCTGCTACAAAATATTTTAATAATTTCTTAACTTTAAGACAACCAGTGGAAAACGCTACGATGAACGTGCCTGACTAGCTGCATGATACAGGCTGCAGAACTGGCCTCGATTCCTGGAGTAAGACCTCAACTTTTGGTTAAGCTGAAAGCATAGGGGTTTTCTGGAACAAATGTACATGCAGGAATGAGACCTTATTCCTCTATAATGCTCTGTCTTAGACTGCAGACTCTGAGGCACCATACCTTTTCCAGTTTTCCTTTAGCACTAGGTGCACTAATAGTGCTTAAGAAATAAATGGCATATATATTGACTTGCTACTGCTGAGAACATACTCACTACTGAGTCACCGGTCACTCACCTTTTTATATATAGAGAAGTCTTTAGATTCCATACATTCAACAGTAAATGATTTCTGCCTTCCCTCAGTTTTCATTGTAAGCGAATCATTAATAAATACATACACAGCAGACATTACACACAAAATTGCATAGGTACCAAGAGACAAGGGAATGGATATATTTTTTACTATGATTTAAACTTGCAGTGGGCCGTAACATACTTGTTTTACTTTCACAAAACAAACCTAGCAGGATACAATATAATTTAAAGAGAACAAATACTACAGTTGTAATCCTTGTTTTTTCATATATTCCCACCTCACCACGTTTTCCTTGCTTCTCTGCTCATTATGTTTTTTCATTTTTCCCCTATTACATAACAGCTCTGATATCTACCTGGAAAAGCAGATTTCCTCTTCTCTTGGATTTATGTATGTGAATGCCATCAGCCATTTCCACCGTAACAGATCTAGACATAAAACTAGGATTAAGCATTCTTTGCTTTCTTAGGAAAATTTTCATACTTTGTAGATTTTAAGCATAATGCACTTCTAAAATCTCCTCAAATGAAAACTGGAACACTCTGGAGAGGCCACTTTCTGTATTCCACTGCTTTCAATGCAGACCGATAAAACAAAGAAAAAGTATTTTGTGCACATCAGTAATTACTTTTTAATTAAATTCTTGATAGCTTAAAACCATTACACTTGTTTATGCATGCCTTCATGCGCGTGTAATCTTTCAGTGGGTTTTGTTCCAAGCGCAGCTGCCAGATTGCAAGCTCTGGAGACTAAAGTCACCTGCCACACAACAAATGTGGCAGAGGCCATGGCAATTAAAGGACAACAGACAGGACTCTACACCATTTACCTTTAGAAGATTTATTTGGTAGAATTCTTTACTTTTTTGCCAAAAAATACTGTGGAGATAATATGGTAGGTTACTTCCAATAATTATTTTTGATGAAAGACTGCTTTATTATTTCCGTAGCTGAATTAATTAGTCCTTATAGGGTCATATTGGCACTATTTAGCATATAAATATTAACAAGGGCTTGTGGCCTAGTTTATTTTAATGATTTTTCTTGGTTCTGGAAAGTTCACAGAAATGTTAGGATCAAGGTTATTGCTAGGAGTGCCACTGCATTCAAGTGCCACTGAATGAATGAATGAATGAAACAATCTGGTTTTCAAGATATTATAACATTCTTACCTAACTCTCTATTCACAGTCAAGACAACACAATTAAATGTTAGGAATCAAGACGGTCATGTTTCTTCATATGTATGTGATTCATTAGCATATTAACAGGGTAAGTGATGCTACCGTCAAAAAAGATGCTGAGCATGTTTTCAACTAATACAGTCCAAGAAAATGAAGATTAAGGTTGCTATTCTGCCAGCAATAACAACAAATACAACAAACAAAATTTGTGAATTGTGCTTGAAGTTGAGAAGTCTTAGCTGCATGAAAGTAAATGGAGCTAATAGATTAAATCAGTTTAGGCCGTATTTTTTAAGAATGGGGCCTGAACTGGAACTCTCTTTATCAAACTGACCAGCTAAGAATGACAGTGCAGGTTCCTCATATTTTGCTTCTTGAAGATTTTCAGATCAACTGACAATTTCAGCTCAATTTTTAATAATTGGTCCCAAGTACAAGCTTATTCTGGAATTTGAAACGTATACAATCCTCCTCTTACGCTTCGCATCACTGTTCACAAAAGTAATCCCCAAACTGTGGTCTGTAACACCAAAGGAAAGCGCTCTGTAGCTGGCCAATGGAACCACTGCCTTCCGACAGAAGTCTGAAAGTGCATTAGCCCGTAAGTAATTGTGAAGGCTTGCAGTGATTTTTCACCCTGAAAGTACGGGAGTACATTGGAATAATGAAGGTCTGTGGGTCAAATTCTACTTCACGTAGCCTTCTAAAATTCCATCATCTTGCAGCTCTGCCTTCAGTTACACAGAACTGGGGCCAGATTTTCACACGAACCAAGTTTTCCAGATTGTTTATCATCTTGGAAGGATTAGTTTTCTAAAAATCTGTCCCTACCTGGTGTATTTGACAATGATCTCCAATGGTGTTACCCAGGAATAACTGAGAGGAAAATTGGAATTTAGGAAATTCAATACTCTTGTAATAGGATTAGATGTCATGTTATTATCACTATTTTATCCTACTAACAAATAAAAAGTAATAAAAATTATTGTGGTCACTTATGCAAGGATAGGATGTGGGATTCTGCGACAAGGGACAAAACCTACAAACAATCAGATGCCACTTTTTTCAAAGGCACTTTTCTAGCAATAGTTACATACTGGCATGGTTAAACGCAACTCCAAAATAGCATAAAATAGCACAGCTGTTCTTGAAATAATGGACACAGCGGGGATTTGTCTAGGATATTTTTTGTAACACACTATACAGGAAAAAATTACAAATCCAGGAGTGCTTTTATTGAGTAAATTACTTTATCAGCCAAACAAATAAGACTGCATTTGCCTTTTAGTACAGCAACATTGACATCTAGTGGCTAGTTGAACTCCAAGTTTGATATCCTTTACATGGCAAAGCATGGAACATCACGTTTCTTGAATTTGAGAGACAAAGTAAATATGCATTTCGATAGCCTGCTCTCTTTGCATAATCTCTAGACCATTAGAGAATTACACTACTCTTTAATAACCAGCTTGTGGGGGTTTATTCATGGGAAGGGGTGAGCACGAGCCATCACTTCTGCACACAGCCCCACTGATTTCCCTGACTCTCAGGAAGTCCGACACTTCTGAGTTACCCGGCTCACCTGAGGATTTACCTTGCTCAGGGCTTGTTGGCAGGCATGATTCATCCCTAAAGCTGTGCACAGGCACATCTCAAAGAAGAACTACACTTACTAAGGATCATTTTACTGGCTTATGTGAACTTACATTTTTTTATTCTACTTGCTTTTCTACTATTTATTCGTGCACTTGAAACAGGGGGAGATGAAAAAATCAGGAAAACGACAGACCACAGGAGACTGTTAGTCCTCTGAAGATTTGAAAATAGGTGATTTGGCAACCCACACATTAGACATGTACTCATTTGAATGTACATGTACTCCGCAAACAGCTCTCGTAATGGCTATAGTTGGCATTGACCATCTCGCTCTCATTCTCCACACCAGTGGTAACGACCTCTCCTGGCCTGATCTGCTTCATTACAAATCAATGGGAATAACAAAGACCTAACTTTTTAACCAGCTAACCAAACTAATTTTAACCAAATAAATCAGAGGCTACTGAATTAAACAACTTTACCAGCAGATCTGAGGAGGAAATAATGTCCTGCAGGAAGGCTGAGGTAATTAGTCCTCATCAGTATTTAGCTGGGAAGAATAAACAGCTGTGTCTAGTGTATCTTAAAAAATATAAAGAGAAACTGAAGAGTCTGAAGGAGAGCAAGAAAAAGAGTTCTCAAAAATATAATGTATATGGAAAGATTGAAGTACTTTGATTCCTTTAGCCTCAAAAAGAGAAGACTTTGGGCATATGTCTTCCAATATTTAAAGATTTGTTATAAAAAGGATGATTGATCTGGTCTTCTGCATCAGCTTAGGGCATTAAGAAATGGTCTTAAGGAGCAATACAGACTTATCTTAGATATTAGGGAAAAAAACCTATATACCTAAAAGGGTAATAGATTAAGGCATTTATGCTGTGGAATCTCCTATACTGGAAGCTTTTAGGAACAGCTCAATAAGTATGTCAGGTATGGTCTTTTGAACTCTGCAACTCTATGATTTAATACCTTCTTTTGGTACATAAGCATTGATAAAAGTGCCCTTTATAAAAGTAAGGGGCATAAATTGAATAGTTTGCCTAAGTAATATATACCATTTCTCCTAAATGATAAGAAAGGTCGGACATCTGTCCTGAACACAGTTAAGGCCCATCACAGATTTTTAAAATGCACCCTTGTCTCTCCACCTCAAACGACAGGAGTCAATACGCATACAAAAATCGCTTGATGTCAGCACATTTGCCACCGATTTAATGAATTTGAATGACTAAGAAGCGGCAAATTCAATCAAATAAAACTGGCACCTTTTGTCTAGTTGCCTACTGAGTCTATCGCAGTGGTCTGCGTAATACGGTTTGTGATTTCTACAGCAGACTGGAAGAAAAAAGACTGTGAAAATAAAGAGAGAAGCTGATGAACTCTTGGGAGTATTTCAGAATCATGGGCTTTACCTTGTGTTATCAACAGTAAGAATATCCCCGCTTTGCAGTAATTTCTATTTCTTCTTTCCACAACTTTCTCTGCAATTGCTATACTTAGTCATTAGAAAATGGGATGATTAAAGTTGTATAAAGAATGCGCCAATGATTTGAAAACTTAAGCAAAGAGAAAACATTTACTTCTTGAAGGTTTTAAAATTACGTCCGACTCAGGCCTTCTGGATGCACTGGCTCTTAAAGTTGGCCCATTTTTAGATTTAGGGCAGGAGTAAAGGGAAAACTACAATGACGGTAAGTCTCCTTTGTGGGCCATGAAATTTCAGGCTACTGTAATTTAATAACATAGTTTCACATTACTGCTAAGCTGATCTAATGGAGAGCTGCTGCTGAAAGAGGAACCCCGTTTCCCACCTTCCCTTCCCTCCTGTCCCATCCCTCCCTTCTTAACCTTCTTTGGCACCAGCACTGGTACTCATCAGATACAGCAGCAGGATAGTTGAAGGAGCTAGAACAGCAGAAAAATGAATGCTCCAGCTAGTCAGAAACGGTCAGATGAGTATTTGTGCCAACTAAAGAGAAGGCGCACCCTTTTCAGCAGCAGTGAACCCACAGATTGGCTTACCTGTAGTGGAAAAACGTACCCATAAGGTTTGGTTACACAGTCATTGCGATCCAACTCAAATCCATAGAGAGTATTAGCATCTGTTCTTTCTTCTGCTGCCCCCCCCCCCCTTCCTTTTTCCCCAACTTTTCAGCCATGTGAGACCCAGATGAGATAACTGCCCTTTCTCATGTCAGAGCATACTGATGCTAGATTAAACTATGGACATGTTCTCATAGGATCAAGTTGTAATTCATATACTAAGGGCTAAGGATAGGTCCAGTTTCAACTTCCAGTTTACTTAGGTGGCCATTTCTAATCCATGTAGACAGCTGTAGCATGTTCAGTAGCATACAGTAACCTTTACATAAAAAGCAGTCAGGCTTGGGATATTTTCAAGCAGCACAGGCAGACAATAGAAAAGCGTGACATAGCAAAATGAAGTTATCTAGCTATCATTCTTAGGAAAAAAGTTATTATAAAATAACTCAAGCATCTACAACAGCTGCTAAAGTTGGACTCACTGCTGAATTTTCCTCAGTCCTGGAAAGTTTATTTTTTCTAAATGCAGGCTTTTGTGGCCACAGCACAATGAGGAGAGATTCCAGAACTGTAAATCTTCTCTCTACCTTTTCCCACTTTCCTTCAAAGTGCATAATCAATGATATGTTGGCCCAGTTTCCAGAATCACATCAGGATTCATTCATACTAAAACAGTCTGCCATTTTCGTAAGAGAGGAATAACAAAAAGATGCCTGCTATTATGGCTTTGTGTGTATACATTATTTATTTTGAGATATTTAAATTATTAATTAGGATAATTCCATTTTTGCAACACAGAGCTTCCTTTAGAGGAAACGGGCCACATTCAGGGGGACTTCAACAGAACACTGTATACACTCAAATAAGGATACGGGAACTCAACTCCTGTCCACGGAAAGGAATTCGGCCATCACCCTTCAATCCCTTCAGAGTTATAAAAACAGAGCGAGGGACACAGTTACTAGGTCAGGAGAAAAAAATACTTTTGTTCTTAAAGCTAAAATCCAGTAGCCAAGAGAAGGCGGTAGACTGTCCGCTAAGGTGTGCGATAGCCTTACCACACAATAGCAACCAGCTACGACTTCGAATTTATCTTTAATAACAAAGACAGTAATAGCACTCCACTTCTGAACGTTTCCCGCATTAAGCGTGTCTTCGGTTTCAAACGCCGCAAATTCACTAAACGTTTAGAAACTCTGATACATTCCAGAAGAAAAATATGTATGATGGATTAGGCATTTTTGACCTCAGCAGTCAAAATGCCGGTTCAGGTATTGCGCGTCCTAGTATCTGAAGGGAAACGGCAGCGCCCCTTTGACAGGCGCCCGCGGTATCTGATGTCTGAGCGCGGAGGCCTGGATACGTCCCCCAGCTAACCCGCGAGCAGGCAGCGTAGAGAGCTCTTTTCCCTGCTGTGAGCCCCAGGCTCCCGAGCTATCCCCCAACGGCCGCTGCTCCGCGGACCGGACTGCCAGTCCTCCTTTCTTCCAAGGAAGGCGTAATTGAGGAGAGGGGAAACCACTACAACGCGTACAGGACCGGCCTAACAACCGACCGCACGAGAGCGGCGGCCAGGGCGGCAACGCGGCCGCGACGCCAGGTCGCTCGGCGGCGA